ACTTTTACAACCTGTTTGTCTCTCGTCGTACTTCCAGGACACTGAGAGAGAGTCCGTCGTTCTGAAATACGAGTGGTAGTGTACACGTGGGCGCTGATGTTTGAGGGTGCAAATTGTGTGTGTGTGTTTGAGAGAAGCTGGGCATGTGTTCATGTATGGATTCAGAACGTATGATACAGGAAAGAGAAGCTCTCAGCTCAGTTCAGCTACCAAGCGAAGCGTCGTCCCTCTGTCCTTGGCCCCTCTGTCCTTGGCCCCTCTGTCCTTGGCCCCTGTTGAGATTCACTCTAGACTCTAAAACCTCACGATGCAACAAAAAGAGAAGAGGATTATTATGGAGAGAAGGTGATTTGTACTTGTACATAGGACCCTCTGGGTTTTAGGGGACAATATTTTAATTTATTTATCAATCTTAGGCGAGGAAAGCTAGGTTTGCTTCATGGCCTGAATCAGATGGGTGGAGCTTAGCCCCTCCTCTCTTCCCTCCTTTGCTTTCTCTTTGGGTGCTGCAAAAATTGAAAATGTAAAAAAAAAAAAGAGAAAGGAAAGCAATGATTTTTGTTATTTCTTTTGCTCATGATATTAAGTGCAGTGACTTTATAATATTGTTTTATTTTGACCATCAGCAACAAGCAGCGTGACATCACCACAGCTCCTCTGTGCTACTCTCTCCCTCATTGGTCCAGTGTGAGTGACATCATCCAGCAGCCCCTGGACGTGTCCATCGTAGCGCTGACGTCCCACTTTGCTGTACAACCAAACTGAACAGCTTGCGGGTTCCACCACAATAATGTACATAGGTTCAAAGTAGAGAGTAATATATGATAAGGAAAATACTATAGCGAACTACACGGGAAAGACACAAAATCCTCTTTTGCTTTTATTTTCCATGTTTTGTTTCTTCTGAGTGATTTGGGGTTGTATTCACACAAAAAGGCCATTTTAAACCACTTTCCAGTTTTCTTTTTTTACCGATTGATTTTAGATTGGTTTGTTTTATATTGTATGTACGACACGCATTGTGTGTTTGTTTTGATTTTTCCCTTTTTCCCCCACTCGGTTTGCGTGAGGAAACCTCCCGTATGGATGGACACTGCTGCCGTACTGTAGAGTGAACACGTGAACTATCACACACACACTGAGGTGGTGTTTTTATGCAGCCAATGCCTTGTCCTGCTCTGATCATTTCATCAACAGTCAGTGTGTGTGTGTTGTGAACGGGCTGTGGTGCCTGGATGGGGAGAGCAGTCCTTCCACTGAGCGTGATTTAACCAAAAAGAGGGAGACTTGGACACTGTTTAGTCTTTCTCACAGCCTTTGCATATTCTGAAGTTTTGGTTGATCTGTTCACTACAAAGCAACACTTGTAAGAGCTCTTGATTAACGAGAACAACACTAAAATGAGAATGTAAACACTTAAGAGTTAGCACCGTTTTGTCTTGATAAAGCGCAGATACAATGACCTCAGGGCTACCTGTTGTCTGTAGATCTCACAGGGCTGGATCTCTAAACCCCCTCCAGGCGGCTTTTCTTTGGCAGCGTGGAAAAGCCTCTGAAAGAGCATTTTACGGCGTGGCAGCTCCTGGCAGGAGAGCGGGGCGTTCACAGCCAAAACCACTTACCTCTATTCATCTCCCTCTGCTGACAGACCCATAGAAGAAGCATTTGACTTGAGGAGTCGCTCATAGGGTAGAATGAGGTGAAACTGTAAGGGAACAATAAGCACGGGGCTGAAAAGTCCCGACATTGAACACTAACTACAATGTGGTTCTAATGTGGTATTATCTGTGAGAAGAGCGCACATACTGTGTTTAGGAACAGGCTGAGAGCTTCATGTGCCGAACAGATTCCTGGGTCACAACCCTCCACTTTATTCTTGTTTGTTAGAAAGGGAAACGAGTTCGTCGGTGCTCATTCCTGCCGATTCCCCGGTTTTGAACAGTGCTAAAAAACCCATTCCAAGCTTTTTTTTTTTTTTAAAGTATTCCATTTTTTAGCAGAGAGACGGGAGGTTTGGAACGCCTCAGTGTGACGCAGCTGCTTTTATTCCAAACAACCACCTCTTGTAAGGCTAGTGAGTCTGGAGTGTCTGTAGAATGTATTAGATATGGGGGGGGGGGGCTGTTTTAGCCAGGTGTTTTATTATTGGCCATTATTGTACAGAAAAACTGACCCTAGACATGCCAGTTTAAGGAGAGGGGCGGAGAAACTCAGGAAATGTCAGAACCAATGAATTCTTTTCATTTTGATGAAAATGAGTCTGTTTGGATGAGAGAGAGAGAGAGAGATAGAGAGAGAGAGAGAGAGAGAGATGAGTCTGGCTGTAGTGAGCAGTAGATGTGACCCGGTGGAGAGGACAGGAAGAAGAAGAAGAAGGTGACTTATGGCTGAGGTGCCACCGTGGTAACATTTAAGAAGAAGAAAATAATACAAAATAAATAATTCAAACGCCTTTGCATTTCAGTGAGGTCTTATCTACAGTACCTTCGATATTATTTTGCTCTTTCATATCATATTACACTTTGTTTTTTCTAGGATTGCTTTGTAATAATTTGTACAGTTTTGCATGTTATAGATGTAATCATTTTTTGTTTTTTCGGTTTGTTTTACTTGGACTTGCTCCTTTTTGAACGGTTTGGGCGTTTTACTGAGGATAACCCACTACAGGTGATGTAGATTCTTTTTTGCACAAAAAAAAATATTTAAGGTGTAAGGTCGAAACAAAAAATAATGTATGGAACTGGCTGCCACACTTCTGTGGAGAACTCATTATATTAACCTGACTCCGATGTATTTCAATAAAGCGGAGGGCTGTTACAAATACAAACCAGTGTGTCGCCGTGTGGTCATTACTTCTGATGAATGTCTCTCTGTCCGTTCTTTACAAAAACTTTATTACAACAGTTCCCTTTTTACATCTATACAAGTTTTGCTACTAGAGGAAATGTTGGTCTAACATTTGACAGTAGCCACACATGTAAGGTCACATTTGAAACGGGACAAACTACTGATTCTAATTTAAGGGCGCTCTATCTATTCAAACTGAAGGTGTGTTCACACAAAGCAGAACCACTGAACAGACATCGTACCCACTGTGTTAGCTGCTAGCTAGCTAGCAGCAGAAACACTAGCTGTTCAGCTCCTAACAGGCAGATGTTGAAGTAGAAGCCTTTGACTCTTCTTTCCACTGAGTTGGTCGGTCGTCATGCCGTCAGTAGAATCTGCTCATTGTTCAGTCATAAGGCAGGAGTTTGGATTCAGCTTTTCCTGTATTTTAGCCCTTGCATTCTGGCAAACAAACATTTTTCCTCTTATTACATCACAGCAAAGCAATGAAGTACCTCAATATGTAAAAAAACATTTTTTTGAATGAGACAATGCTTTACAGTAAAGTTCAGGAGTCATATACAGCATTTGTAGAGAGTGCTTCCCAGAGGTGGTTCTCTAAACTAATGTGTTCCCCCTCATGGGGAGTTTCAAATCAGCTGTGAATAAATGTCCTTTATAAATACGTTTTCAGCAGGTTAAGTTCCCAGAATTCTATTTAAAACTAAAAGAGTGGAGACAGCAACACATTTCAAACGTAGCCAGTAAGTGTGGAAAAAAAGAACACGCCCCCCCCGAGTGCTAACGAGCACCGTGTCTAACCATCACTCAGTCCCTTTATACAAACAAGTACAGTACAAGTCACAAACAGTCCAGTGTTTCTCGACTGCTCAGTAAAGTAGGTCCAACAATCATTTTCCAGTGTTGGTTATCCACAGGTCGTCATCAGGACCGTAGGATCAGCTAGTGGGTTGAGTAAAGCTGAGAGGACATTTTAAGGCATCGATCCACACTCAGTCCTCTTGCTCTGGCTGGATGGAGCCCTGTTCTAGCTAACGTCGTCAGTAAACTGTGCCTCAGCGCTGAGCTCCCAAATTCAACAGGAGAGGACTCCACAGTGGTTGCTCCTCTGCATTTTGTCAGGCTTACTGTGGATCCTCACGCATTCTTTAATTCTCTAGGAAAAGAAAGAAGTCATCTTTCCCTCTCCCTTCCAGTCACATCTTCCATCTTCAGAAGCATCTCAGATCCTCTTCAGGCTGTAGCTCCGTCCTCCTCCAGGACTCTGTGAATCCCGTTTCCAGGGGCACCAAAGACGGCTTGGGTGGTGCTGGTGAGGTCCCTGACACTGCTCTGCCGTGATTGGCTCTCCAGTCGTTGGGTGGAGCCGTGCCGTGATAGGCTGTCTAGGCGGTTGGTGCTGCAGTGTCTGGACTGCGGTTGGTCGTTGAGGCGAGACATGCTTCCGTAGAGCAGCCGGTCGTCTGTGGCCCGGAAACTGGAGGCCGTATATCTGGGACAAAGACAAACGGCAGCATCAGGAGCCGGGCTCTCTGTGGACCAATGCAGGACAGACACAAACCACCTCTGAAGGATATGAGACCCACCTGTCGTCTCGGGGGCGCTGCAGGCTGCCGTGGTAGCTGCTCATCTTGGAGCGTGCGCTGCGGACCGAGCCGGCCCGGCTGGTGCTGGCGCTGGGCGGTTCATCCAACATGGCCAGGTGGGTGGACGAGGCGTGGGTGGAGGTCCCCTGGGTGGACGTGCCCCGGGACTTCCTCACGATGGGCGCGTTGGGGTCCCTGAGCAGCAGCTGGGCGAAGTCGGGCTCCTGGAGCACCTGTCTGCTCTCGTTGACCATCCCGCTGCAGCAGGTGAAGGAGGAGGGCAGGGAGGGAGTGGAGCAAGAGGAGGAGGAGGGGAGTGGAGGAAGGGAGGGAAGGGAGAGACGCAACAGGGAGGGGAGGGACAGGGGGAAGGTGGTGGGGTGGTAGAAGAGAATGGAGGAGTGGGTGGAGCAGGCGGTGGGAGAGGGGGTTAATGCTCTGAGTTTGGAGGGGAGGGGAGTGAGCGCAGAGAAGGGCCAGTGTTCAACACCAAGCCATGTACACACATCTATGTACAGCTACATACATCTATGTACATGTACACACATGTATACACACTGACTGTCACTAGACAACCAGCTTCAAGTACAGGACAGCGCTTGACCTCAGCAGAAGAGACCAGCATCAGTACATGTTTGTCTCATATTACTGTATGAGGCACTGATCCAGAGCCACTTTATTACCTACGGTGAGTAACGGTGAGCTAAAGTAATGTGCTGCTGTTGAATAAAGTATATAATATAATATGTCTCAAAATGTCATCAAAAAGTTATAGTATGTCGAAGAAAAGGCATAAACAAGTCATAGTATACTATGTTTAAAAAAGGCATTAAAATCCATAATATAGTATAACAAAGAGAGTATCATGTCGAAATGTCATAAAAATGTAATTCTAAAAAAAGTGAGAAAAGAAGTCAAATCATATATACTGTATATATATCTATCTATCTATATATATCTATCTATATATCTAGATATCTAGATATATATATCTAGATATCTAG